ATCATTGATCCTTTCGTCATCAACGAGCTACTTTAGAAAATTTGTTGGGTACTGTGTAAGGATTCGTTACTCTCTTCGACCCAATAATATTGACACAGAATGCTTAGTTTCACGATCTAATCTTTTGTGGTTGTTTCCCGCTAGCCGTCAGAAACCACTTTCTACATCTTTTCATGTAGAAAATGACTCCTGATGGCTGGCGGGAAACAACCGTCTTTCTTACCTTTAAAATTAAGTACAATACGGTTACAGAATATTAAATCTCTTAGCACCAATTGATTTGTTTATTTGGCATTGTAAGCTTCATTTTTTTTACATCTACGACTCTAATCAAACATCTTCAATTGCTAAAGCTTTTACAACTCCTTTTTTGACCCTCATCAATTTTAAACACAATTTCTATTATCATTCACTCTCATAGATATTAGATATACCTCTGTCTTCTTTCTATGTTTTTGACCTGATTCTGATTTTTATATTCTATTTTTTGAAATGAGTATAACTCCATATTGTCAATTATGCCCCGCAGCTACAAATCGTTAACCTCTAAAATCAATCATCTAAAGCAAAATCCCATTTTGTCATATATATAATCAAATTTGTATCGTTCTTATTCACAACACATACTACAATAGTGACATTTCAACTTGTCTCTGTCTCTTTCGCCCATTATGATAATTTATTTAACACCCCTAAAATTTTTAAAAAAATTAGTTTTTTTTTCTCTATCTTTTTTTGATCATACATACATATATATACACAGTTGGCCATCTGTTTCGTGTTGACAAATGGATCTTTTGTTGTTTTTTAATGAACAGTCTACTTTCTGCCAAAAAAATGGATATTTAATTTTCTTTTACAAGAAAACTGTAGTGATAGTAGCTTTAAGACATCTGTTTAAAGTTAAATCAACGTCTGTCATATTCCGACCCTTTGATTTTACTAATGAGTGGTCATATATTGAAGAGTTTTTTAGCTTTACTGGAAACGTGTGCAGTTGTTCATTCACTGTCAATATCTATATTCACTTAATTAATAAACTTCCGCACTTTTTTCTTATTGTTATTGTTCATCGTGATTGTGACAGTGTATAGTAAAAGATAAAATTAAACACAATGTTTTCTCATTTTTCTTTCCAGGAAGCAAGAAAATATTGAATGTAATTGACTTAATGGTGTGCACGTACTATGTCTATTGTATTGTATAAAAAAACTTGATAGAAAATATTTTCGTAATAAAAACGTGTCACGATTGGAATAACAGAATCACTACGGCAGTTGAACAATTTAGTTTTTGACTCCATATATCGCATTCTCTAGAGAGTATCTAAACGAGAGTCTTTTTATTCACTCTGTTTTGTGTTCCATATATAAATATATAACAACAAATACTTTTCGAATATTTTTCAATATTTTGTTTGTGTTTAACTGATATTTAAGTAACATTATAAAATGCATTTAGAGGTTGAGAGTTTTTCGAACCGTATGATCTAACCCCATCCATTTATTATGAACTAGTTTATAGACACGATGTAACAATTTTATGTATTTTACACCTTATGAATTCTTCTCTCGAGGCTAGCAATAATAGTAATTGTAATATGTCAAAAATAGAATTGCTGATGGTTTTTAAATGTCATCTTTACAGTATACATGTGACTAGTTAGCAAATAACTTTTTAAAAAGACTTAACACATATTATATAACATTATGATCTTTATTACACTTGAAAAAACAATAATTAAATATTTAATCTGCGTGTATTGTGTAATGTTTTATTTTTCAAAAAAATTAGATATTGTTGTTTTTGTTGTTGTTATTAGTTTTCTATACAAGAGAAAGATACGATAAAGAAAATCAGTCCATATTACGAAGAAAAAAAGAAGATTATTTTTGTATCATCTCGATGTATTTACAAACAAAAGAAATTTGATCCAATATAGTGATAAGATGATTGTTTTTAGCTTTTTATTTTATGTCGAAGAAAGAATTGAATAATAACTCAAGATTAGGATTAGTCTGATAAACGAAAAACAATACAACTTTTCTTTTTATACCGAAAATATACTATCTTAGTCCAGAGTTAACATTATCTATCTATTTTAGATACCCTCTATTGAGAAATAAAATAATAATAAAAAATTGACCTTTGTAATATCAATTTTGTACTTGTCGTTGTCTCTAGTTAGACACATCACATTCTATCATTTATCATTCAATATGTCCTCACTTTGAGATAAAATTCTCTTCAATAACTCTTCTAGAACATATTATTATTGATTTGTCATCATCATTATTATGTACTAATGTTGTAATTACTTTTTCTTGTCCTTGCTAAAGTTTCTAGTTCGAGTAATGCAAAAAAAAAAATAGTAACAGTTTTTTGTTTGTAATACAAGATAGTAAAAGTTCCTCATTTTTTTTTCTCTCTTCCTCTGAGAGAGATATATACTATCCAATTAAAATAAAAAAACAACTAGTTTTTACTAAATAAACAATAAATTTGTTTCTCACTTGATTTGATTTTGTGTGTAGGCGTGAAAAGAGAGACAATCTTATCTAAAAAGAATCTATCCCTATTTATATCTCTTAGAATATAGCAATATTTTTGCTTTAACCCAACCATATCTGAATAAGCTTAAATACATTTAATCTTTTCTCATTATTATTATGATTATTATTGTTATTATTATTTTTCTGTTGTCATCATCATGAGAAAAAAAAGTAATTAAATTTATACCACTACGATATTGTGCTGGCTATCTATTCTGTTTATTATACCAACAACCATGCATGTGTGCTTATAATAACTATAGATGTGTTATGGGATGTCAAAAAAATTATTCCGAATAATATGGGAGTCATGTTGAGTGTAGTATGGAGAGTCTAAAGATGAAAAAAAAAATTTCTGTTGTGTCTATATGTTCATATCTCACATATGCATAAAAATTCTTCTTTGTATTTAACAATTTGATTATCAGATGCGTACTAATATACAACACAACACGAGAGAGAGAGAGAGAGAGAGAGAGAATGAAAGACTCAATATAACATTTTCAATTATTGAAACTACGTAAGAGAAACAGAGAAAGAGAAAGAAATTAATTAAAGTCTAAACAAAAACGTTTATTATATAAAATACCAATCCATTATTTTTTATTTTCAACAAGGACACTATTCAATGGTGAAACAATAAATATGTAAACACACTTGTCGGTTTAGAGCAAAAATTGATTATTTTAAGATAATTTCTATATTTGCAGATGTTCATTATTTTTGTCACTTGAATATCTTTTATTTTTCGACAGCTGTTTTTCCTAAAGGCAAATGTGAAAAAAAAAAAAGAAATTTTCCAAAAAACAAAAAAAACAAAAAAAAACAAAATAAAAAGAATCATAGTAAAAATAGATAACTTTTATCCTGCAAAACGAAAATAGAATTATTTTACATGAATTGTAAAACTCCATTATAGACTCTTAAAATTAATTACGCATGTCTATATTAAATTTACGATCATGTTCTTATGTTACCTATTTTAGTAGTAACTTAATATTGTATATATGAACTCTTTACTTTCATCATCATTAGGACGTAAAAAAAAAAAAAGAATAAAAATGAAAAAGAATAAAATTCCAGATAGTCGGAAGCAATTTAATAATCATGTGTTGCTATTGGTGAGGTTAGACTATACTTCTTTCGAGGGCAACAAGAAGTGCATTCTTCAGCATAATATGTCTCAACTATTCAAATAAGGATATGAACTAAATATTTATTCACATGCTGTCGTTTTTTACTTTTTTTTGTTAAAAATGTCCAGGACTAGGAAGTTCAATTAGGTTATAGTCGTCTGATTTTATTATAATTGACGGAATTTGAGACAAAACAAAAAAAAAATGTTATTTTCTTTATTAGACTAGTTTAATTACACTATTATTTCTCATGATAGAAATATATACAAAAAAAGGTGTGCAATTTGGATCATCTTTCACTAAGAAAAAAAAATAAAACAATTTGTCGTTCGAGAAAACATTTTTAGTTCTACTAAGTTTTTTTCTTCTTCTTCTTTTTTGTTGAAAAATGAGATCTATAGTAAAGATGACTATTCTTCTTTCTTTGACTATATAGTACTACTTCTACACTACACATTGAAAAAACTCTCTCGAAATAGCATGGTATCAAGAAGAAAAAAAAATGTTTTTGATTTTTCTACTTTTTTTTTTATTATTAATAATCGAAAAATATTAATGTGACGGCATACATTTCTACTAATCACCACCATCAACATCTCGTTCTCGCCTTTTTCTCTTTTATGATTCTTTTATTTTTCTTTTTTATCCCAAAAATAGAATCGTTTTATTTTCTTCTCTATTATAGAGCGAAAGTAACACGTATGACAATAAGTTGACGTTTTCTTTCCGAGTTTTTTTCCTTTATATATATTTTTTTTTCCAAAAATTTTGTTCTTGATTTTTACATCTTTCTTTGTCTCTTTCTCTTTTTCTCACAGTATCTTTCTCTATATATGCAATGTTCTCGTGTGCATTGCTTGCGGGGTGATAGTCTTCGAACGTTTTTATATCTATCTACAAAACGCACATATCTCTCTATTTTTTTAAACTCCGAGTCATATACATACATATACACAGAGAGCCGTTCGTTCAATTCTTTTTTAAAAAAAGAAGGAAAAAGTTCCGTTTGACATTCAAAATTGTATGTCTGCTCTTTCTTCTTCTTCCCTTTCCGTTCTATTCTTCTTTTTTTTTATGAAACTTTCTTCTATTTTATATTTTTTGTTAGATATATGTTGCAGACTCCGAGAATCATATACCTCTTTCGCTCTCTATATACCTAGTATAGAATAATAATTTTTGACATACAACAACGACAAATTTTCTTTTTTTTTTTTGTTGTGCTATACAAAAGATACTTTTTTTTGAAAAAAGAAAGATGCTGCGTTATTAAACTACAACTATATTGTACGTGAACATTTATCTAAACAATATGGGCTGTTCGAATGCTCGTTTATTAGTTCAGCAATCACCATTAGAAGAAAATTCTCATGCCATATCATCGAGATCAAGAAATTTAGCAGCAACTACTGCTGAAAATCGTGTTCCTCAATCTTCACCATTTTTGATTGACGATCATTTACAAAGTCGTGTACATTTAAACGGTGTAGATTTAGTTGTGGAAAGAAATGGATCATATACTCTATTACTGACACCTAAAACTCACAAACAGTTAATGCCTTATGTTATGAGAAAAAAAAGATTCAGGTATGATTGAATTTGTATAATATTGTGTGAGTTAATAATATAAGTCAATTTTTTAAAACTGCGATAAGTTTTCGTACGCATAATAATAATAGAGTAGTAATTTTGCATCTATTACAATAACAGCAGCTGTCACAATTTATCAATCGGTCATTATATACAAAAGAGTGTAACATTGGTGGTTAAAAGCACAATTTCTTTTTTATTTCTCAGCAAATCATCATAAATATCTAGAGCTGTCTCTTTACCATTCTGAGTCTTCTAGAGCTTTGTTATGATAATTAATTTAAAAATATGTTAAGCTAATGTGATACGTAGAGAAAAACAACTCTCCAAAAAAAAAAAGAAAGAAAAAGAAACCGTTTATCATATTTCGAAGAAAAAAAATCTTTAAACATCAATTTAAGTACCATTTCTGTTTACGAAAAAAAACTAAAAAATAGAATCTTGACGTGTTTGCATCTCAAACATTTGTCATATATATATCCATTTTTAAAATCATAATATTGATTATATACAAAAAAATTTGAGTGCCATGCTGTAACGAATCTTACGCATATTGACTATTATGTTGAGTGCAAAATAGTAATGATTTCTTTTCTCTTCTGCTTTAAGTAGTAATTGCTGTTATTAATGATGTAACCTTTGTCATTATTTATCTATAAGAAGATTTTCTAAGTTTTTTGAATCATTTTTCCACACACCTAAATAACTACAGAAATCAGTTCTTATTCGTTTCTTTAATATTAACCCACTCTCTTTCTCTTCAAATGTGTTCATGAATACAATCTTTTATATATATATCTATATATTAAGTCGAGCAAATTAATTGCTAAAACTCAATCTTTTTTCTTATTTTCATTGTCATCAGAGCTGACACACTAGAAAAAAACAAATGAGATGTTGTTTACTCAGCCTCCATCGACCTGAAACGGGTTTTCATTCTTTGACTGAAGAGCATTCATGAAGTTGTCGTATTAAAAGTATATAAAATAAAAAAAAATTTCACAACGTAGACTTTTACTAATTCCTGGATATTCATTCACTCTTTAAAATCCTCCAAAATTAGAGAGGTTTGTTGACAGAAAACTATTTAAAGCCTTTAATTGCATTTCTTTTTTATTTAAGTAAACATATTTTTCATTCTTCGTTTTTCTATCGTTAGAATTCAAAATAGTAAAGTTTTACATTTATACGACTTCCAGAAAGAGAATTTCATAATACAAAAAAATATTCTCAAGCTCGCTCTTTTTGCGACTACAAAAGTTTCCACTCACACTGCGTCGTGTACGCACGTCATAACCGTTAATCATCAACGTTTTTGATTTTACAGAAATATTCACTAGTTACAAATTTTGAGATTAAACATGGACTAAACGGTATTTTATTATTTTTTTAAATACTTATCAGAATTACCGAAATATTTACTATCTCATACTGTAGAGGGCGCTGTGTTTTTTTTGAATATCTAATATATCATTAAAAAAACATGACATTTCATGCAATTCTTATTAAATTCTGGAAATTTTAACCCAACAATGTTGACTGATTCGGTGAGCATTTTTTTCCCTCTGATTATATTTCATCTGACGAGTAGATAACCACCTCAACACAAATTGTTCAAGAATTGTTCAAAATTTCAAGTCCATTTGAACTTGAAAACTAGCGACACAGAAAGACCAACTCTTATTGGCGATTTCTTTTTGACCAATCATAAGATGTTTCTATGACAAGGGTCATATTAATAAGACAAAAAAAAACGATAATATAATAAATTTTGACATTATAATAATAGTGAACAATAGAAGAACGAAGAAACGGATTCTTTTTTGTTTGAAGGTTATTCTTGTTGACGAAGGTGTATGTGTAGTGAGTGAGAAAGAGCCTCTTTAAAATGACTGAGGTTCTCTCTATCAAATATTGACGCTTACCGCTGTTCTTTTTCTTCTGGGGGGGTTTTATCGGTTCCAACTGTGAAAGGAAACAAGAAGAAATGTGTGTGTGTATGTGTACATTCGTTATGCAAGCAGTATTTGTAAATAATAATATAAAAAGATGTGTAATGACAATAACCGAACCAACGCAATTTATCTTATTTTGCAATGCGACCATCTTGTTTGCTTCTAAGAATATGATAAATAGTATATATATATATAGCAGTGAGACAATGGCTACATCTCTAAAGCAATACTTTTCACAAACCAAAGAGAGTTAGCATACAGTAGCTGTAAAACCACTGTTTTGTGTATGAGAAGTTTTTTTATTTAATTTATTTGATTTTTCAAATTATTTTAGAATTCTTGTTGACAAGCAATCTTCCTCGACAGCATTAAATCCTTCTTTATCAACAACAAAACCAATTATTCATCAACAAATTAATGTTCAATCAGACAATAATATCAGTAACAACGACATAAATCATTCAACTATGGAAAGTTCAAAAGAATTAAAAATTAAACAAAAACATAATAAACGCACACAGTTGGATAAAAATGTTGAATTTATTGAACAACAAGCTGATAATGAATTAGAGAAATCAAAACGGCAGTTAGATCAACAAATATTAGGTGGTACACCGATTGATAATAATTTAGAGGATGAGTATTTACATTCGGATGATGAAGGTATGGTGGAAGAAATAATTACGACTGTGGAAGAAGATAAAGACTTGGAATGTAAAGTTAAAAAGAAAATTGAAACAAAAAAGACGGTAGCCGAAGATCCGGAAACACATAATAAAGTGACAAAGGTTGTTAAAACAGAAGTAACAGAAATAACGCGAACAATCACGATTAATGATCAACATGATTTGGAACGTGCCAAACGAGAATTAGGGATCGATGATGTCAATAAATTATTACCATATCAGAGCGGCTTGTTACAACAAAATATTTATAATTTACCATCGTCACAATATATCTTACCATCATATTTAACGACAACATCCGGTACATCGTGGGCTGATCATCCAAAACTTACCGAAATACAAGAAGTAAGATACGATCCAAGTAATGAAATTGTGACGTCAGGAGATTTTGGTGAAGAGTGTAAAGAAAAAACGCCATCACCAACATACGGCGCTCAACAATTGATTAAGCAAAGCCATCAATTAGCTGCCGGTACTCAAGACAACCAACGACCTATTTTTAACAATGAGGCAACATTAGCTGGAAAAGGTAAAACTTTAGCTTCTTTTTATCTAAACCAGTAATAGATAGACAAAAACAGGAATATTTAACTTAAAGATTTGTTCAGAACCGCGTTCGAGAAAGACTCTGTTTTTTTTTTTATAAGGAATCGACGCTACAATTAGTGCTAAACCTGTTGTTGACAGTTCAACTAGTCAAAAACCCGATATTCAACCCAGTACAACAACAACAACTGACTCTTCGTCTGCACCAGTTGTCGTGAAGAAGAAGGCAAAAAGTGGTGGCTTATGTTCCTGTGCAAGTGCACGTGGAACAACAAGTGATGATGAACGGAAACACGAACAAACAAAAATTGTTGAGAAAAAGTCAAAACTAAAAAAGAAAACATCTGTGTCACCTGTTGCCACAATTACGGCTACAACTGATCAAGCAAAAAGTAAACCAGTCACAACAACTTCTCCAACATCATTTGAACTACTAAAATCAGCTATTGAGCAACAAACAATTGGTAAAGCATTAGTCTCTGACCCCATAAAACAATTAATTATCACGAAAAAACAGCCATTAATCGATTATTTTCATACACAAATATTCTCCACAAAAACAAATCTTATTACATCGAAAGATAACGATGGTCTTTGTCGAAAAATATCATCACGTATTTTTGATCTATTGAGATACGATCGATGTTCATCGTGGCAAAATCTTCAAGATCAAATTCGTGAAGAATATGGTCATGAAACACCATCATCGTTGTTTATACAACCTATATGCGAAACATACGAAACAATATTTACAACAAAAGAACCACAATTATTAAAATTATTCGAAAATGAAACAACGATACCGTCTGCAAATCAAGAATTTATTGAAATTGTACAACAAAAAATGAGTAATAGGAATAAATCACCAAATATTGGCTATGCAGCAACACAGTTTGTTAATAATGTTCAAGGTAATTTAGATCGATTAGCATATGGTGCAACAATACAACAACAACAGAATGAGAATATTGGCGAACAAAGTAAGTCAACATTTCAGTTATTTTCTCAATAGTAATGACGCAAGTTGAAGTCTCTCATCTCTTTCATAGAACGGTAGGACTCTTTTGACGATTTTCGATTCATCTTTAATAAGAAAATAGCATAGAACGATAAGTCTATTTCTGTATGAGTCCTACAATTATTTCAGTTTTTTCTACATATTTTGAGGAAGAGGAATTTATTCTTATAAAAAAACTCGAAACGAATGTATTTATTTTTCGATTAATCATTTTTATTACATCATTTTTGAGATGAATAATCATCCTTGGTAACCTTAGCATATTCATTCTGATAAACGTTTCATAAAGGTATACTCTATTGATTGAGAGTTCCCCTAGTGGATGCGATATTTCTAATAGATTATCCCGACATCAAAGAGCAAATTAAATTCATTTATTCCGTTTTTTGCATCGTTTAACACGAAACAATTACCTTTTTTCCATATTCTAAATATGAAAAGGTATTAACAGTATGGTTTCATAATTTTCATATTTTTAATTTATTATTCTATTCAATCATTCTCTTTTATAGCATTTGTTTCTTATAATAAAGTCAATTTTGACATTTTGTATAAAAAAAAAAGTTGATTTTTATTATGCACCATTTTATACAGGTGAATGAGAAAATTCGTTTACATTAAACAGTAGGCAACCGTTTGTTGTTGTTTTTTTCGCTTTAAACTTGAAAAATAAATGATTAGAGATATTATAGATTGATAATTATTTTTATAATCGAGAGTGGCATAATGCGCGACAGCGATAATTCCTTTGTAAATACTGTCGGCTTGTTTTTTGATGCCCGATTTATTTCCTAACCTCATAATGATGATTAGTGTCTGTCTCGATCGTGCATGTTAACAAATAGCTTTTATATACATACATAAAAAGTCATTAAACATTAGGTTTTTTTGACATTTCTAAGAAGAAGAAAACTGGACGTATATAAAAGATGGAAAAGAATCATTAATCAGTACTAAATATGTTATGTACTTTTGTCTTCGATATGCCTAATTAATAAAAATGTTTAGTTTATGGGTGCATTGTTATCATCGCTTGTCGAATAACATAAAAATAACATGAACATTCAATGTGATAAGTTAGAAAAAACAAACATATCATCTATAGGCTTTGATAAATAACTTTTTAAAGTGATAATGAGGGTTTTGTATAGCAGTAAAAGAAACTATAGCATAAAGAAGATCCAAAAAATTGTATTATTAGAAAAAAAGAATAGTAAATTATTGTCCTGTTGTGCGTGTGAATAAAAACACACACACACATAATTTAACAGGAGGAATGCAACAGTAACGGTGGTTATTTATCTCAAGGCGTAATGCACAAGAATTCTTTTCATACTGTTGTAAAAATTGATTTTTGAGAATTATCGCTGTCAAAATTATTGAATAGTTTAGTTAGTAGCATCATCCATATTGAGATGTTTAAAAGAAAATTTCATTTGTGTATTTTCAAAGAAGCGACAGAGTTCATCATATTTGTGTGAACAGACTGCATGCGGTGCAGTTTCGTTTGTCCATATAATTATAAAATCACTCTACTTTCAAGAAATCTTATTCGTATAAATATATATAATATCTAGGTATATGTGTGCGTGAAACTTAATCGACCGATAATCTATGCCAATTGTTAAAAACAATTTTATAAATAGTACTGTGTATGATTCAATTGACAAGAATAGTGAACGGGAGGGAGAAAGAGAGAGAAAAATTCCATGCATGAATAATAAAAGTTGTGTTCATAATTTTAGTCAATATACTCTAATATGTGTGTATGTGTGTGTGTGTTGTTATATAAGACATACAGAGGCGATTACAATTTTATCATCCATGTAGCTAGACTGTTTGAAGTGACCGAGTTCTTTTTGAAGCCAAAATTGAATGAATATACACCTCTTATGTCAATAATGGAATTGTTATCAAAAATTGTGTTTTTTTTTCTATTTAGTAGAGAGTACAGCGTGTTTATCTGAAGAGCAAGTCAGTAGACTAGATAAATTTTGCTTGATTATTTTAAATAATTTATAATACGGAAAGGATTGTCTGTTGAGTTTGTAGAAGATGACAAATTAAATTGGATTCTTCTGGTGTTCATTCAACAAAAATTTTGATGTTTATGTACAAATTTCAGATTATCTCTCTACATGATATTATTTTTTTTGGTTAATTAATGCGTAGTTGATTTATAATTGTGACTAGTTCAAAGAGGAAGCGACTCAAAGTGTCGCACATACACTATCGTGTTAATACGTCCTGCTGTGTGAGCGAGATAGACACCTGTTCACTATTATTGAGTTCTAATTAAAAATATCTCCAAGGTTTCATTCGTTAGAGATTAAATATACATTTATTTCATCGGTCAAGCGAAAAACGTTTTTATCAAATAAACATGTTATTAAGATCGTTTGCAAGAGCAGACAAATAGAAAGCGTTGGTGAGAATATAGAGAAAACTAATACAAGGGGGTAGTACTGATAGACGGCGCTTGTTCTGTGACAGTCACTTGTCATCAGTGACATCTGTGATTGTTAATTGAGCTTTTTTCTTAAAATATATCGTCACTCTCCTTATTTTTAGTTGCGAAAGTTAGCAAACAAAATGAATCCATCATCAGATACTGAATATATTCTTCGAATTTGTTGACGCATCCACTTCCGTATGACCGACGGAGATAAGAATTCTATCACTGAAGGTTGAACTTCATTTTTCTTAGATAAGAAACTGTACCGAAATATGAGACAGTTATAATGTTTCTTGTGCGTTATTTGTCCAAACAGTTATGTTAACATGCTAGGATTTGTCATGATTAAGAAAAAAAGACATAATTTCTATCTTTGTATCAGATCTTTGACAGTACATATTTCATTCTTAAATTGTGTAAAATTGTTCATTAAAATTTTTTATTTTAACAAGAAATATCCTATGAGATTGATCATAAGTTATTTAGAGATTCTCGGGTGGAGTTTTGTTTGTCGCAGAGATTTTTTTTCTTTCTTGTTATTACGATTACGATGATAATCAATCAGCGATCTATTTTTATGGCTCATTAAATTATCTTACATTTGTGTCTTATGTCTCTTCTTTTTATTGCCAACGTCATCCAAACATAATATTATACGTATATGTACAAGTTACTCTACGTTATGTTTTCTTTTTGTGGTTGATACAAGACGACATAAATAGTTTTCATATGAAGGACAAATATAAGATTACTTTGGGCCCTTTTTTTTTCTCCTTCTTTAAACAGAATCCCACAACAACATAGCTCTTTATAGTTTTTAATTGTAAGCATCTATAGCTTCTTTCTGCAGCTGTTGTCAAGAAATTGGAGAAAGAAGAAAAAAAAAATCTACCATGTTGGTCTTGACTTCTAGCCATGTATTAATCATTATCATGATCAAGATGCTGAAGATGACGCGTTTATTTCTACTAAAAGTTCTCTCTTTCTCTCTCTCTTTCTCTTCTATATAAAAAAGATGATGATGAAAAGGAATGCCGAATGTACAAAATGTTGAGTAGTTTAGATATGTATGCGTGTCGAACGAGTAGTCTTTCCTAAAACCAAAAGATAGTTATTTATTATACATCAAACAAAGAAAAAAGAGAGATCTCATTTTTTTCTCTAACACGTATATATATTAATATTATTACCTACCACTATTATTTATCGTTGTTGTACATACCTATATCTTGGATATGGTTCATTTTTAAATTTTGTTTTTATTAAGAAAAGATATTGATATTTTGTCTTTTCGAGAGAAAAAAACGCAATATATACAAATATGTTAGAGGTAATTAATGTTTAATTCATATCTTTTGATCAAAATTTCTATATGAGAGAGAACTGAATATTATTTCCCGTCACCACGATCAATTTTTTGTAACAGCCTACGGGCTTAACAATATACAAACGGAAAGTCACAAAAAAAAAATACTCAATTATGCCAAGTTAATCTCTTATATGACCAGCATGAGCATAAGTCACTTTTTTAATAGGACATCTGAGTTCTATTCATTAGAATTAAAACAGTCAATTAGTATTAGTATACTTCAAGATCATGAAGGCAGTAAAAAAAAATCAATCTCACATGTGTAATATTACTTTTCACTTATACTCTCATATTGACTAAAAAGATGACAGAATTTTCAATTAATTTCACCTATCAAACGTGAAATCAGTGAGAAATTATAATAACAACATCTTTTTGAAAGTTTCGTTAAACGAATAATCTTATTTAGTCAAAAGAATCTTGTCACATTGAAATTTAAAATTTGTCCGAATGGAATCTGGTAGAAATCAAAAGATTTTCTACCCAACAGGCACGTTTATCATTCTTATTGTCTTTTGTTCGTGCGTGTGTGATGATAATGTTTTGTCATGCATTTTTCACACGTGTGTAGGTATAATAGAAATAGAACAAGCTAATCTCTGAAATGTTATTAATAGATAGTAAATTTGTTTCTATCGTTTCATGTCTATAAGTTTATGCAGAGAAGAAAAAAAAACAGGAAATAGTGTTCATGACGGTAGCGAGAGACTAAAATAGTCACTAGATAAACAAAGGACAAAGGACGTTGACATTAGAGAATGGTGACAGATATGCATAGATGTGTGTAGTGAACCTTAGAAAATAAACTTTAGAAAGAGAGAGAGAGAGACATTGTCTATATGCAAGGACAGTATGAGAGAAAGAGAAGAAGAGAAAAAAATCATTTTTGCTCTTTTGAACACAAAAAAAAAGGTATATATAATTATCATTATTATCAGTTATTCTTTTTAACTGTGTACCATATTCACTTACTTTACTCTACTATAGTTAAGTTTTACAATGCGATTTGAAAATATGAGAGTTTTAGAACAAACAACAACAGCGACAAAAACGATCTTAATTATCGGTAAGATAGTGCGTATGTTCAATGTAACATGGTATATAAGAAAAATAGGTATAGTGAATACAAGAGAAATGTAAGAACAACAACCTCAAAGCATGTTGAATAACAAAAATTTTCTTCATCATCTAAAACATTTTTGGTGTTTTTAAAGAGAATAAGAGAACGTACGATTAGAATAAGTGGTGAACACACACAGTAAGTAACAGCTCTCATTTGAAACTTAAATAGAATATTATAATAGTTTAGCATTGTCTCTACGGATCGACAGCACGTGGATGCGGAGTAGAATTAGTACTACAGAAATAAGACTGATTTGATGACTATACGAGGTCAAGAAGATGCTGATAGAAGGATTAACATCATCTCATCTGACATTATTTCGGTGCTATTAGTGTTCAGTTACACTGTTGATAATATCCTAGGTGTTTTAATCGAGGTCATTATATCTTTGTTCATAATCTACTATGAGTTTGACCATGTACACGTCGCTCACTCTCATTTTTTTTATAACAATGCAACTACACACTGATATCTATCTTAAACTTTATTTTATATACAGTATTTCTCATTCAATACGGCACGGTTAAATGATCTTGTGTCAATATATGACACGATGAATTATGTGGACAACAAGACAAGTATGGGAGAGAAAAATGAACGACTACTACAATGAGCACAAGATTAGATAATGACCTTGTGTGTATGTGTGTGTGTGTATGAGTGTGAGTGTGTGTACGCTGTTCTCTCCTCCTGAAACCGAGAGTACGTTCATTATATTAGGGCGAGTTTGTTGACTGTACATCATCCATTTATAAAATAGTAACTATAACACATTTGTGTATTTGTGTAATATAAATCTTGCATGACTATCTCTTATACAAAAGAGTTCAAAAAAAAAAGTATAACATCACACACATTCATAAATGTAAATTTTAAGTTTTCTTTTCAATACCAATTTTTTTAATACCACTTATTGTATACGGTTTTAATTCATTGGTATATATAAATTGACTACCGTGTAAATTACTAAGCCATTTTGTTATTACGTTTTTCTTTTTTGGTTTTAATAAGTTTTGATTCATTTCATTGTGATGAACATGAAAATTATTTTGATTATCGTCTGATGGTGATTCCATTGTTCACTTTTAAAATGCAGCACATATAAAAATCGTTGATTGTATTATCTAATAAGACAAAAAAAATCCAATAACAAGTATAAGTAAGCTTTTAAGACGTTCTGTTTTGTTCCCAATTTCAAAAACTTCAAGTTTAGAAAAACTGCATCACTTTTTCTAAATAAAAATGTGAGATCTATCAAATACGTGTTGCGAGTATTTGACATCAATAACTCATCATTCATGAATTCTAATACAATATAAACTTTTGAGTAGAATAAATTTATACCTACTGTAAATTATTGCTTGAAATTGAATTTTTAAACTGGATTTCGTGAAAAATATTTTTAGTTCTGTTTTATAATGTCGTTTATTTCTTTTTCTATTCAAAAATTGTTTGACAAATCCAATTGTCTCTCACTTCGTTGTATTTTTGTTGGCAATAATTGTTTCGTCTTTCATACACCTGTACGTACTCAATAATAAATATGTACGCACGTATATCTATGTATATATATATATATAGTCTATGTAAACTGAAATCAGAAAGAAACGAGAATATAAACAAGAACTGTTCCATTATATTCAGCTTCTAAAATATAAAACTTTTTTTTTGTCTAGCGTGATAGTTTTCATTCTACACAGGTTTCACACAGTTGGCATCCACTATACCTCATTCCCGTTAGAGAAAAGGGCACTGAATTTATTTTTCGATGTATTAACGAAAAAAAAAGTAATTTGTTTTTCTTTTGCATGTGTTATGAAACAACTGGGGGACCTTGGAAAGAGAAGAAGTGGAATGAAAATAAGAAATAGAAATGTGTACATTAGCAAAATTTAGATAGAAAAAAAAAGAGGAGGAATATGTGTGTGTATATGTGAGAAAGAGAGAGAGAGAGAGAAAGAAAGGACACAATGAGAGCGCCTATTGAGCATCACATACAATGCACATAGTAGACCTATGGATACCATAATGTTTTTATATAGAAATCTTAGCATTTGAGCAGTTAGTTACTCTTGAAGTTGATAATTGTTTTCTGTATGCTTGCTCTAAACTAGTTAAAAACTAAAAGGTATCTTGTAAATTTGAATTGATGTATCAGAAGCACTACAAACAAATATGCACTAAATAGTGAAAGCACTAGTATAGAAATAATTGAAGATAAATGCTTGTTGTTCAGTTATAACAGCAGTAAAAGCACTCACATTTTTTTCCATTTTAATGAATGATTAAAAGATAATCAGCGATCATCTAGAATTTATCAGAAAGAGCAGCGTCGTCAGTTTTTTAGAATTCTCTAATCAACTGGCTATTACGTATTAATCTCAACTAAACCACGATATTTTTTTTTCATCTTTTCAGAAGAACGCCCATTAGCGACAAAAGATTCTGGTATAACAACATCCTTCTCTGCTTCAACATCCGGTGAATTTCGCAGTGGCGATAATCGTAGTATAACTCCTGACACAATGACCGAATCTCATCCACCACATTTAGAAGAAGAACCATCCTTAACTGTGGACGATCATCAATTAAATGAAATAACAAATAAAATATTAGCACAAACAAATAATAAATCGATTACATTAGCTGAAGCTGTTGCTTATGATTATTTGGATTTAAATGATTTTGATGTTGTCCATTCACTCGGTTTACAATTGGATGTTGCTGATAAAATGAAAAAAGTATTTTTACCTATTAATGAATCGGATATAAAATATGGTCATGATTATAAACATAATATAGTTAAAGTACAGCGTTCTGGTGAAACAATAGCCGAATTAGATTTAGCTGATCCGAATGCTTTAGAAAAAATTAATTTACCATCAAATGTTGTTGCTCATTTACAATATGCATTTGAACAACCATTGAATTTAAGGTAAATCACAAATGTTTTCAAAAAAGAAAAAATTATTTACTTTAAGCATGTTGTTGTTATTTAAACTGTTGATTAAATACTAAATTACCCCAGGATACTATCTACAGTGTGTGTATAAAAAGTGTCAACTTTGTGTTCCATTAACTATTTCTCATTTTTGAAAAAATGAATAAACTATTTTTATTTTCAGAGAAAAACAATTAAAACAACTATCAGATGCTCTGGAGCGTACTGGTGATTTACAATTTGCCATATCTCCATTATATCCACCTTTCTCTAAATATTGGCAAGAACAACAAAATGATTTATCAACGTCAGATTCAGGCTATTCAATGACAACAACAAGTGCAAATGATTCATCAAAACAACAGCAACCACAATCTACTATGGTTAAAATTGATTTTGAACCAATTGTTGAACCAAAAATAAAATCATCCTTAATAGAAACACAAACTGGAGTCGATTTAGGCAGTTCAACAAGTGATAGAGACGATGGTAGTGAAAAAATTGATTTAGATAAAGCAACAGTTGAACAACTAGATCAATATCAATTGAATCAAGGTTTAGTACAAAAAATTAAACAAAAAGATACTGGAAAAGATAAGGTAATAAAATTTTAAGATGTGTAACTATTGTCTGTTTAAGTTTACTCTATTCCATTGAATAGATCATTCAATATACTCTTTGATATCTTCTAAGATTAAATGAGGCTAGTTTTTATTTTTTATGTTTTGGACCAAACGAATGAAAGCTGTTATCATTTTTTTACTGCCTATTTCGTATGGTTCACACTGACTCTTGATTAAATATGTGCTAGTGGCACTTATCTGTCATTTCACTGATACTAGCCAAACTGTAACGACTCATAACCAAATTTGGTGTTAATTGTTGGAAAATTGCAGACCTTAAATTTAACTACTTTCTGGGCATTTTTCCCTTACTTGAAACATTTATGATGTTCAATGATGGAAAAGAAAAGTTTTAGGTGTATAAGCGATCAAAACATACCGTTTATGTAAAGTCTCACATCTACAACTTTAAACAAACGAGCCGATAATGCAGAAAAGGAAACATATAACTGGCAATTCTACAATATATCAACGCGTGCATTCAGTTGACTTATTAAATGAGAATCTGTACTGTCTATCAATTTTAATCCCTCGTGATATATTCTAAAATAGAATATTTGCAACTTCGATATAAATTTCATGCCTCCTATACTTCGAAGTACTTCAATATTCAAATTGTGATTAATCTACAGTTAAGATCGATTTGAATTATGAATAGTTAGTGTCATATAATCTTGACAATTAGCAGTCACGGTTAACTGTAACTGTTGCATGCTACTCTTTATGCGAAGGCTTTGTTTTAGCACAGTTCTAAGGGTTTATTTTACTAAAATGCTCATTTAAAAATGTTAATCAACAGCTAGGGAATATGTATTGATAAATGTTCATATAACGGGTTACTGAAGTCTACTAACTTCTCTATGTGTTCATTAGACACTTGGCCAGCAAATACTAGATCAAGAAGTGAATTTGGATGATATAAATTATTTAAAACAACTTAATTTGGATAATCGGCAAGCAAATATATTAAAAGAGTTCTTTTTTCCTACAACACATTCAAAACAAACACCTAAAAAACGTATTATCTCATATTCACCAGAACCTGGTCGTTTTATCGAATTAACAACCATTTATAATCAGTCTATCGAACATCGTGGAGAAGGAGGAGCTGATACAAAAATAATCCATATCCAAGAGAAACAATTATCATCCGTTGAACATGCAATGAAGCGAAATGTGGAAACTGAAGATCCCTATTATTCTCAACCTCATGTATCTGTCTCAAAACAATTGCCAAAAACACAACCCTCTACAGTATCGTCACATGACGAAATTAAACCACCACCAATTGATATTAAAAAGATAGAATCACCAATTGTTCATCTAAAATCGGAGCCAGTTGAAACTAAAAAACGTAAATCATCTGGTACCGGTGGTCTATTCGCATGTTTTGGTAGTAAAAAATCAAAATCAGATACTATACGTGCTTCTACTAGTGGTCAAGCTCCAGTTGACAAACCAACAACACCTACAGCTTCAGCTCCTATTTTTATTCAACAAACTAGTGCCTCTACAATTCCACCAAAATCACCTGTTGCAGATTGTTTTTTAACAAAAGATGGTAAACGAATCTACATTGATGAATATCGTGAACGTCCAGGCCTGGATATGTCCTACGTTCCACCTAATTTTGAAACAAATTATTTTAAACCACAAGTTATTGTAAGTTCCTAATAATATCCATAATAATGAACAAAATATATTTATTTATTTATTTATTATTTAAACAATGTGTTACTATCTAGTCTTAGTTATTTTGGGTTATCATATCATTTGTGTCTGTGTGTGCCGTGTTCTACCCTTCTTTCTTATATACGTTGTATATATTCATTCACACATTCATGCTTGCTTTTTCACGCATACTAATTAGTTTTTACTTTTTTGCTTTTTATTCATATTTTCTTTAGAAAATTGAACATTAATCTTAATTCAAGATTCAAACACACAGAGTACAATCAGTTTTTTCTTCCATTATATCTAAACTCATTATTTGAATTTGTTTCAAATTGAATTAGTCATTAAATTAAGTAGTTTGATAAAAACTATTTAAAATCTTAATATTTTTTAGACATTTGGTCTGCAGTGTACTTCATTTTGGTAAAAGATTTAAAATCTGTTATACATATATTTAACATGTACACATGTTTGTTCATTTGGTTATAACTTGTCTTCATAATGGAAAACATATGTATAATGGGTTTACAATACTAGTATGAAGTAATCTTTTCAGGTTTTTTTAACTACTTGTATATTTTTAATTTTATTCACTTAAAATGAAGAGAAGAGACGAGAAAGAAAAGAATATTAAAAAAAAGTAGACAAATTCTTCAATGTTTATTTTTCAAGAATGAAAAAAATTCAACATACCATCAAAAATAGCTTGTTATCGCTTATTGTATGTATGTATGTATTTTTATTGTAAAAGAAAAGATATATGTCTAAAGATCAATTATATTACTACAACGTTTTCATGTGAGTTTCTCTTCATCATATTTTGTAGGAGCAAAATACTACTTTCTCTTATCATTGACTGATACTTGCTAGTGTATTTCATCACTAAATTATGGTATGCGCACATTCGAATTTTGCTTTTTAATTTCGCAAATTTCACCGAGTTTGCTGCATGAAATCTGGCCAGTTATCGTCTGATAATAACGTTGTGTACCCATGTAGTTTGGTTATTGTCCACGCACCTATTTTTTTATGTGTGCACACTCTGTTTGCTCTTTGCAAATGTTTTGGTTTGTGTTGATTGTTGTGTGTGTGTGTGGAGGTGCGTGTATTCGTTGTTTGTCAATAATATACCATAGTCGTTGTGTCACTGATGGACTCATAATATAACAGTATATCGTGTATGAAGTCAGATAGTTGGAAATAAGGTACAGTTCAAATTCATTTATTTCTTTTATATTGTTGTGTTGATTCCTCTTTCGTTGCTTTACATTAATTCTACACATACCAACATGTAAATAACCAAAAGGCACCTGGATCTTGGTAATTTTATATAATTTTTGCTTGTTATTTATAAAATTAATGCTTTTTTAATGTAGCGAATATTCGTTTTCCTCCACGTGTTGTTCTGTATTAATGATAATCATTCTTTTTATCTATTTGTTTTTAGAAAAAACAATCCTTGGAATACGAAGAACAATTTCATGCATTACCCGCTACTAATGATGATAATAAAACACCAGAGATAGAACAAACACAATCACCACCTGTAATTGATATTCAACAAGAATCGGCGCCCCAATTTCCTGAAAGATCATCATTAGAATCAGCATCAGCAGTGCATTTAGAACCACGGCAACCTACATTTGAAATTGTAAAAACTGATAAAGAAACAAAACCGGTTGAAGAACAAATTCTCATTACAACACCACCATCTCAAAATACTACAACAACCAGTTTACATGGTGCCGCTGTCAAGTTACCAGTTGTCGATCTCCAAAAACCTGGACCTGTTGAAGCAAACTTAAGTTCAACTAAACAAGAACCGATAAAAGTCAAAGTACCAAAAACAAAGAAAGAAAAATCATCGACTGGCGGTCTATGTGCATCGTGTTTTGGTACAAAAGCTAAAAAACAAAAACAGGAAGGCGTCGAACCAAAAGAGAAAGTAAAAACAGATAAAAAAACATCAAGTGAGATCACTCGTAAGGATGATGATATAAATAAACAACACATATCGCCAACAGTCAGCGTACCCAAAATTGATATTAAAGGTCCAGCAGTTGATATTAAACCGCCAACGTTACCAAATATTCAAACAAATCTATCATCTACCACATCACCACCTCCAATTGATATTGAAACCAAAATAATGGATACAGCAGCATTTAAATCAGAAGATCCTCATGTTGATATCGATTTAAATTTGAAACATGACAAAACAGTGGTAAATGAGAGAACTCTATTTCACTTGCAGATGGTTTATTATCTTTCGTTTTTAGCCACCATTGAGTACAGTTTCTGATAAACTCGCAAATTCAGTCATACCTGAATTTTCGATCAACGGTCCAGATTTGAATTTAAATGTGAATAAAACCGAACATTCAATATCGTCGTTCGAAGTGCCTGATTTGAATATTCACGTTAACACTGACAAAGAAGTGCTACCACCTACAACAACAACGTTTGATGTATCTGATATTAAAGTGCCGAATGTGTTTGATTCAGAAATAATTCATGATCGAGATTTACGTATGGGTGAGATACCTGATATCAAGTTCTATGAACAAAAACAACCAACTATTGATACAGTAACAGATGATATTAATCTAAAACAACAAATACCAGATTATATCGTTCCCTCATTACCTAAAGTTGACATTGAAGATCGAACATACGATATACCTCATGTTGAAGCTGATAAGACATTGATATCATTACCAGTGGCTGAATTACCAAAATTACATATAAAAGGACCGGACCTTGATATACATATCGAAAACAAAAAACCAGAGGTAAGCTATTAGATTTCGTGTTTGATACTTGCATCTTTCTCTCTAACTGACAAGTTAATCAAAATGTGAAGTGCACACATGAGATCGGGGTCAGTAAATACTGTTGAATTCTTTATAGGAATGACTCCTATTTGTAGAATAATACTTTTAAATATAAGCAGGAATACAACGATTAAGTATGGACAATTTGAGGTTGAAAAAAGGAACAGTAATAGTTATCATATGTGGTTGGTTTTCACTTGAACTAGAGATTAAAGTATTATGTAGGTTGATGAAGATATGATAGACAGTTTTTAAATATTGTATATTTAACTAAAAATGTAGTTTTAAATTTCTGGTTACGCTTTCTTCACACTTTATGAATAATTTCGAAAATTGGATCGAACCTTTAAACTCCGCCTGAAGTGGATGAATCTTTCAAATTTTCGGATTGTCTTACAATTAGTCTAAAAGTTGGAGAGCACAAATCTCATACTGCAATGGTGTTTGTTTAAAGCTTCTAGTAAGAGGATTAGCTAGTTCGTTCCACAGTTGCTAATTCTACTGGTTTTTGAAGATATTTTCGTTCTGTTAGAGGACACAAATATAGAAAGGGGTTTACACTTATCGGTGGCGAATACTTCGGATATAGAAATTTCGTGACCGGCATGCATATCTACTTTATATTAAAACCAGTGCGGGAAACTAATCCAATTTGTTGGACAGCTTAATGTGTCGAAATATGTTAGATTCTCATCTAAATACAATCTATGAACAATGAGAAAGAAAATACCATAAACTGTTTTAATAAACCATGTTAAATTATATTTATTTTCTTCGAAAAAGGCGTGTAACAAAAATAATGTACATTAGGCAAAATTAGTAACTTAAAACTCTACTCTATATTCTGTGTTGGCGCTAATCTACTTACATTCTGTACGTGTATGAAATTTGAAACTCATTACCTATGTATAGAATATAAGTAAAATATATTCGTTTAATGATGAATTATTCTGAATCATTAACATCATCTGCTTATAAAATTTGTATTGAAAAACGAAATGTACTGTAGCGTGTTATCACTGAAAACAAGAATATCAGCTGATATTTATCTTCTTTTACATGATTTAGGTTCGTGTTGAAACTGCAGAACTTCAAGGTGCAAGCGGTGATTTTGTTGTAGAAGCTCCAACTGCCGAGCTTCCTAAAATTGATTTGAAGGGACCAACGGTTGATTTAAATTTATCGGGTGATTCACATAAACCAATAACACAAACAATAAATATTGCAAGTCAAATGCCAAAAGTTGATGTTCGAGATAGTGCAAAAGGTTCTTATACATTACCAACAACGGTTGATGAAACAAAGAGTAAAAAGAAGAAAGAAAAAAAGGAGAAAAAGGACAAAAAAGACAAAAAAGAAAAGGAAGAAGATAACAGTAGCAGTAGCAATGGAGGATTATTTGGAGGCTTCTTTAAAGGTAAAAAATCTTCAAAATTAACCGCACCCAATGTTACATTACCATCCGTTGATAAATCAATAAACATCCCACCATCACTAGTCATATCATCCGATCCATTAAAAGTACCATCAGCTGATTTGCCAAAAGTTAAAGATGTTGATTTTCCTACTTATGATCGTCCAGAAGTATTAGCAACTTCAAAGAAAAATGAATTTCAAGTTCCATCTGTTTCATTACCATCCATCGAAGGCGTTAATTTGCCAACACAAAATATACCGGATGCATTTCATTTCAATCGTACTTCTGATCAAATATTACAAGCACCCTTTACACAGTTGCCTGATGTTGAATTTACATCAAATGTTCCTGAAAAACAAATACAAGAAGTTCCATCTACGAAGTCAAATATGCCGATTATTGAAATGGGTTTACCATTAGCTACGCCTATTATCGATACAACAAATCAACAATTACCAAACGTTAATATTAGTAAAGATTTCCATTTTCGTACAGAGGTACGCCAGTTATGTTTTTGGTTTTGAACTAAGTCTGTAAAGTTCTTCTCTGACTTTACCTCATATGACATAGCTGTTAGTTTTTATTTGTGTAAACTACTAACAAAAATTTAAGACGATAACTTGTCGAAATGATGTACCGACTTTAGGGTGCGAACATCATAAGGGCGCACAATATTTTGCACAAGACTAGGGTACAACGTCTGTTGAACTGACTACGGGCCGGTGGGAGTGTCGTTGAGTCATCGATGGTCTCTCACATCCGTGCTCTGGCGTCTGGTAATCTGTTGAAATATAACCATTTGACTTGCGCTCATCAGATCTCTTTATACTTCCGTTACTTGTCATACGGTTTTTAATGTTGTACCTGTTATTTTTAGGAATCATTGGATATTGATAAACCAACAACAAATGCATTAGCGAAAGTTAATACTCCAGATTCCACTGTAAATTTGGATAAAACAATCCTATCATCGATTGAATCAAACTACGATATTCCGTCACCAGCTTTTCGGATAGATCATAAAACTGAACAGATTGAAGCGTTGGTATGTAAAAGTGTGTTTTCTAAAGAAGAATAATCGTGTCTTCTCTAGCCAATGTTTTTGAAAAAATTATACTACCAAAGCATAATGAATTAAATAGATAGGGCGTAGGTTTTTATCATAGATATTTTTCTTCTATTTAGAAACCATTGGATATTAATTTTGAAAATCCACCAACTTCATCCATTGCTAGTCCTGAATTGAATGTTGATATTAAACACAGAGACATATCACCATCGTTTGATATTCCTGATGTAGATTTGAATCTAAATAAAAGCTTAGCAGGACCTGCTCCATCATCGTTTGATATTCCTGATGTAGATTTGAATCTAAATAAAAGATCAGCAGCACCTGCTCCACCATCGTTCGAAACAGATAGAAGTTTGACTAAACCATCCATTTCTGAATTAATTCATGATAAAAATGTCCAACTTGGTAATATTCCTGATATCAAATTATATGAACAAAAACAGCCAACTGTTAGTGTAAAACAAACCAAGGTACCCGATGTACCAGAAATTCATTTACCAAAACTCGATGTTACCACTGATGTAAAACCAGTTATCACTAAACCACAACCAATCGAATCAGCAATTCATCCACCAAAAAAGGCGAAGAGTGGTTTATGTTCATGTTTTGGTGAGAAAGCAGCTCATAAGACGACCATAAATAAGACAGAAACAACAGTACCAAAAGTAAAATCAACAAAAACTAAAATACAGGCTCCAGTTGCCAAATTGCCAGATGTCAATTTGCCCGCATTAGAATCAACTGAAGTCCAAAAATCAAAAGGAAAACCTTTGAAGGCACCCGTTGCTGATTTGCCACCACTTGATTTAAAACCACCACAATCGACTGACGCTTTATTGAATACAAGTCTAACAAAACGTCCAGCACCGAAATTACCCGATTTACCAAAACCAGAGATACCAAAAGCTACAAAAGATCTCGTTATACCAGACATTGGCAACATTCAAACACCATCAATATCTGAACAAATAGTACCAACAGACATTAACATCAGTCCTATTGATCAGCCTGAATTTAAATTGAGGGGTCCTGATATTCTATTAGAATCAACTACAAAACCACAATTATTATCAAGCCATGAAGCAAAATACAATTTGAATGATACTCACATTGTTTCCGAGTCACCTGAAATTAAATTAAAAGATATTCCATCAGTTCCAATTGGTTCAGTTACTACGAATGTTGACTATGATATTCCAAAACATATCAATGAATCAAGTACTGAAAAACAGGTAATAAATTGCTTTTATTTTTACTAAAACTTGACGTATTTGCAACATGTGATTTTCTTACTTTCTTCAGGAAACTCACACCCATATCAAAAAGGGTCCATCATTTGAAATGAAAGCACCTGTGATGGACATACCTGATTTGGATCTAAAAGTGTCATCACTAGATGAAAGTGAAGCCAATTTATCATTTAAAAAACATCCACAAGTTTCAGAAGAAAAATTATCCGTTTCTCATAATATACCATCGATACCACATCTGATTGATCAACATCCGCATCAACAAGCACCAACAACGTCTCGCTCTGATAGTGGTCTTGAACAAATTGTCTCATCTCATATTCATCCATCATTAACATTTGGTACAGATCAATCTTCAACATATGATTTTAGTAATTCTGTTTCATCTGGTCTTGGTAGTGAAATCATTGATGGTGTTGCACATAAAGGTTATACACTACCGTCTATAAAAACTACCTATGAACATCCAGAAATTCGTACCACCGATGGTAAACGATTATCAATACCAACACGTGAAGGCGGTATACATTATGATTTTAATAAAAAGATCACATTAAACGATGATATACATTCAAAATTAGTATTTCGACAACAAGAATTAAAAAAATTATTAGAAACAGAAATTAGTTCAACAATGGACGATTTTGATGGGAAAAAAGATCATAAACATTTACAAAAAATTATACAACATTCAATTGATTTAATTAAAGATAAAAAAGTCAGTAGTTATCCCGAATTAAAAACACAATTGATTATGGCACATAAAAATGAAGCTTACATTGTTGATCCAGTTGTTAAAAGTTTATATTTAACAATTGAAAAACATAATTTAGATAATATTGATCGTCCAGAGGTAGCCTTGGCTATCAGAGATGTAAGTAGCAATTACTGAAATAAGATCCTCTTTTTACTGATTTACACGAGTCTTTTAAAAGAATGAAGAAGATTATTCTAATACACAATCAAAAGTTCAAAATTTTGCACATTATGTACTAAAAATTTAGAAAAGCTTATAGTACTCATATTTTGTTTTGTATATAGATGGTGAAAGATTCAGCAAAACAAACAATTAATACAATTACGCACTTAAATACGGGTACAACAAATAAACCTGAACCAATTCAACAATCTCCACCTAAACAGCAACCCGATACAATACCAAAATTAATTGTCGATTCAACGAAAGACGCAAGAAAAATCGGAGAAGTAGTATCAAAGTAAGTTTGAATAATTAAAACAATGACATGTTCGATGTTCTTCTCATTTCACACGTTCTTTAAATTCTTTTACAATGTTGGATCTTTTTGACTTCAAATATTGTGTAACTAGGTTTAGGGTTAATCGTTGTTAAGTCTGTAACATGGCCATGTTCTCAATCAAAGTTAAAGACAATAAAACATACTTTTTCTACCTACACTCTAGCTAGTTTCATATAAGAATTGTAAAATTTGTTCACTTTTTCTTCTATTATTTAGAGATGTTATTCCATCAATTGATGTGGCACCTAGTCAAAGTCAAATATCTGCAACAACAACTTCAACAAAAGAAAAACAAAAATCTCCCATCGAGAAGGATGATAAACATGTTGCACCAAAGACCCCCACTGCTGCTTCATCTTGCTTAACGTGCGGTCGTCATCCGAAATCAAAGTCAAGTGCAACAACAACAGCAAATGTTGTTGATACAAAATCGGCAACAGCTACGGGTGCAAAGCATTCTCTACTAGATGAACGTCGTCATCAGCAGTTAAATGCGTCTAAAAACGAATTAGCCGCAACAATTCGTGAACATATCCAATCATCCTCTCCACCGATTAAAAATATGAAAGACCATTCAAAAGATGTTGATAAAATCATTCGTAAAACTTTACAAATACTCGTATCACCAAAAGTTTATTCCTATGAACAAGTGAGAAATGATTTGAAAACTGAATATAAACAAACATTTTATCTCGTTGATCCTATCGTTGATATTGTTCGTGATACATTGGAACGTTGTGATATACAAAACATGCAAGATAAAATAAATGTAGATATTCTCGATGCTAACATAAAGCAAACACAAGAATTATATAATCAAACACATGGACAACAATTGTTATCGACCCAAGAATTAGAATATTTACAACAAAATCAAACTGGTTTCATTAAATCAATTAAGGCTAAAGAAAAAGAAGAGAAAAAGATTAATAAAAAACAAGAAAAAGAATTACAAAAAATACTTGAACGAACATGTGATATTTTGTCCACACAACAAGTACATACTTGGGATGAAATTCATCATCAGTTAAAACGAGAATATCCTAAAACTCATGATCTAGGTAAGTGTTCATTATCGATAGAAATATTTGAAACAACAAGAAGTCTATTTCTCATTTTGAAATCGTTATTTTTTTGTTATTCTTTTTGTTTTAGATAGTCGAGCGATTGAATTACTTAAATCAGCCCAAATGGATGGTCGACTAAAATTAACAGAGAAAGCTAGACAAACATTGGTTAAAAATAAATCGTCTATTGTTAGTTCAATTGTTCAACTTTTACTAGATCATAATAAAAATTTATATGAATATTCTCAAATAGAAAAATTAGTGAATCAAACATTTGATTATTTAGAACAGAATAATCAAAATAAAGAATTTCGTAATTATAATGATTTAAAAGAAAAATTGAAACGTGATCATTCATATAATCATGATGTACTTATTGAACAAATTGTTGATGTTATTGAACAAGCACATGTTACAAGTCAATTTGAAGATATGGATAAAAATGAAGTACAAACATTAATGAAAGATAGACTACACGGAAACCGTATGTAGATAACTGTGATTGATTATAGTTAAAATTTCTTATTTTTGACTTTTCTTTTTCTTTTTTTTAAAGCACTTATTTTGAAACAAATTCACGTTCAATTACCACCAAGACAAGGTGCCTATGTGCCTCAAAATCAACAACAACAATCATCCTATTTGAACGATGTTAGTGGTGATTCTACTCATCCATCGGTGACAAATGGTACAAATAGCCATGCATCACGTCAAATTGCACGAGGATTAAGTTGGCGTGAAGCAAATGAACGTGCGAGAATATTATTTTATCGTGGTAGACATCCAGCCATACATTATGATGAAAAAACAGCTGGATTCGATGTAAGAATGTTATTGGAAACTCAGACCGGTGTACAACAAGAGATACCAGTTACAGATGAAGATGTAAGTTTATCTAATATCATGTAGGATATAAAAAAAGTTTAATTGTTCCCTTTAGGTTCATCGTTTATTGAATACATGTGGTGTACAATGGGATGGTATCAATGTTGTTTCGTTAATCGATCGTAGTGAAGCTTATGTGAAGGAAGCTGAACGTGATGCACTCAAATTAATTAAAGAAAGTGGTACATTAGATCAATTGAAACTCACACAACAACAACAAAAAATTAATGATGAACAACAGACTGTAACATCGTCTACTACAATGTCATGATGAACGTTTTGTTTTTGTTTTTATTTTCTACAGATGTTCTAAGCATCTTCTTTATCTAGAAAAATTCTATTCTATTACAGCAGCACAGGTTTTTGCCGTTTTGTTTGTGTTGTTTTTTTCTCTTTCTTGTTGTTGTTTTTTGTTTTTTTTCTTCTTGTTAGTAATTAATATTATGTGTATTAGTTCAAGCACAACAGCATTCTAGAAGAAAGAAAAAGAAAGAAGTCCACTTATAGCAGAAAGTATGGTGTGTTTTTAGAGAATGATTTCGTGTCTGGTTTTTTTTCTACATTCTATTTTTTTGTTGTTGAACAGTCACACCTGCTAAAGAAAAAATACTAAATGCTCAAGACTAACAACTTGTTTTTTTTCTCGAACAGTGTTTACTCTTTTTGTTGTTGCTGCTGTTGCCTATTAATTCACGTGGTATCCACGCACACTTTTTTCTGCTTGTGTATACTTTTTTTCTTGGCGTGTCTTGTCCCTCCCTCTCCTTTTCTATTATATAAATCAGTTTTAGTAGTTGTTATTACTATTCAGATTCTCGTTCACACATGCTGTTGTTTCTTTTTTTAGTTTGTTTGTTTCACACAAGTTTCACTTTGTCATCTCCTTCTGGAAATTCAGCTGTCAAACACCTCAACATTACTATATGTTTTTTGTTGTGTCACATATTTTTCAGCGTCTCTCTCTTTTTTTTTGTTTGCACAAATAGTTTTTTTGTTTCTACTTTTTTTGTGTACGTCTCCATCGGATGTATTAGTAACTGAAAATACTATATATACATATACTCATTATACAACTACTCTGCATGTGGTGATGAAACACAAAAAACAAAACTTGTGGTTTATTAAAAAAATAAACAAAAATTATAAAAAAAACAATTTGGTTACTGTATCGTATATTCTACTAAATTTCAACAGTTCATCGACTGTTAGTAACTAAGCAACATTAATTTTCTTCAATCGACATTTATTGAAAACTAAGCTATTATTTGTAAACAACATGTTAAAACTGACATCAATGCCTCTTGTTTAAAATACGAAGATGAATAAGCTGACTGACGTTCGCCAGCACTAAAATCGAAGTAGTTAGTAGAGCGCAGCGCGTACCACACGCACAGTCACTTTAATCACATAAACAGAAGTCATTTTCCTAATAAACCACCCACGTAGGGTATTATCAAACATCTAACTAAAAAATTTTCAAAATATCAGTATCATACAAGAAATACGTTATGTAAAAATAGTTCTTTCGCGTGTTACAGGCGTTTAAAAGAAAGTCGGTTTTCACCTTTTCTTGTAAAAATTATAAAATTATCCGAAAGAAACAAAAAATGACATGTAACTTGTAGCAATTTTATTAAAAAGTGACTCTCCATGGACCCCAGTCTCTCCTCAAAAGTGATTCTAACTGGAAACCGATTTGTCAACACTTGTGTTCAAAATGTTCCACCCGCCTCTCTTTATATTGCACATATTCGAAAACTCCAAATATTTATCTTCCACGTTTGTTAATTACAATCATGAGCTTTTCATTTAAACAGAGATCAACTTGCGCGAACAAAGTGGCTATGAGTGTGATACGTATTCCACGGAACAACTGTCAACAAACTATGTTAAACTGCTCTTCGTAGCAGGAAGATTGTGCAATTTAATAGGAAAACTGATGCTAAAACTGCATCAACAGTAAGTCTGTTTTATTTGATATACGTAAGGAAAGACAGCTCATTCCATCCGTTCAATACTAAACGTTAAATGAGTGAATACATTCTTTTCATACCATAATTAGATTGTACACATAAATGTTGTCACCATGGACGTTAACGAGAAAACACTGTCAACGCAGACAAAA